TTGAAAGCCTGACTAAAATGTTCAGCCTCAAAAATATAAGACGATATTTTTAAATTCAGAAAAAGACACACTCTCAGTAATTGTGAACATGTGTTTAAAGCTTGTTTCGAAATCTGAGCATCCAATTTTGGAGCCTCTGAAGATACGCGGTAGGTTGTAGAGTGCTGAAGTCTAACAAGTTAGGACATAAGGTCATTACTGAGATGAATAATCAATGTATCTCTGCAAGGGTGATTCTTCCTGATGACTGCAATACTGTAGTCTTGCAGTTTAGGCAATTTACAATTACGAGACTCATTTGTGATACAAATCCAGAACTTGATTAAATGTTAAATACTATGGATTGGCTGAAATATTTAAAATGCATGTGGGTTTTGTTGATGTTACCATCCTTTATTTACCCAACTAAGTATCAAGAGACCTAATTTGACTGTAATTGATTGTATTTTATTGTGTTAATTAGTTTGAATTAAATCTATGTTTATTGACAATTGACAATTTGTGTTGTAACAATATACCCAAATGAGCAACCCTGACAAAGTGGAGCTTTGGGATTATTTAACATGTTTTAATGTGAATTGATGTTAATCCTAAAGTATTTAGTTTTGTTGTCCAAACTGATTTATGAGCATGTCAATGACAGTTTAGGGCAGATGTTTGTATTCAGCCTTTAAAAGGCACATCCTCAACAGACAGTCACAGTTTTAGCTCCATCCCACCATATGCAGATTAGGTTCAGAATTCATTAAACCCATCTTAAAGTCCACCAACAGAAACTCCCCTGGAGGCAATGAGAATCCAGAATGCTTTCAAGTCGGACTTTCAGATTTGAGAATTTGGCAGAAGGTTGACTTAGCTATAGGAACCCCTGAGAGTTTCTCTAAAATTCTAATCCAACAACATCAACTCCTGGCCCCAGACGCACTGCAGAGAAAGGCTCGACTCCTGAGTTCTGAATTGAAATGTTGGAGAATTGGCACATTGACCCTTGAGGATTTGCATTTACATGCAAATCCACAGCTGTCTGTAACAAAAAATTATTTATTCAACATGTATCATAATAACAAGGCTCATGAAATGTATGAGGCTACCTTTGTTGCAGCCAAACTCAGGTTTTCCTCTTTTCCCCCAGGACAGGTGTCAACCAGAAATGCTGGAATAATGGCCACTAGTGGAAGGTCAAGGTCTGGTCAGGATGTGTAAAGAAAACTAACGACAGAAAACATTAAAAATATCTCTGTCCTGTACACATCTTTGGTCTTAAAATCATGACATGTTTACATTTATAGTTGACAGTAGACAAAATGGGGAATTTTGCAACAAAGGACTCAAGCAAGTTTCAAACAAAATTGCAAGTTATGCTCTGTTAACTATAAGGCTATAGTTCTATATAAATGTAAAGTTGGAGACAGGGCTGACAGTGTGGTGAATCAACAAGTTTCTAGTAGTTTTTGGTCCCGAAGTATAAGCTTTAACGCTTTGATGATACAGGCCATACTTGCAGGATATATTTGTTGCTGGTAGTGCTCTTGTGGGATTTGTTGACAATAAGAAAAATATAGAATCACCACACCTATCTTTGATTAAAAATAAACACCGTCACGTCAAACATTGTAAAAAAAAAAGAAGAAGAAATTACTATTCAACTGTCCACCCCTTAAAGCAGATAAGAGGACTTTGGTTAGTCCACATAATAATAATTTGCCCACTTTGTGATACTGAGCAATGCATACAGTGTCAGTTTTATCTGATGCAGTTTCAAGATGTCCTATTCTTCCGCCAACCTGTCAGAATGGAAGGGAATTGAATTGTGTTTTGGTCAAAGCTGGGAAAATGACATGCAACAGCAAAACTGCTTTTTAGAAACAATGTCCCGGTCCCGTTGGATATAGTGACCGACCTCTGTGACAGACGGATTTGATCTCAACTACTTTCTGCTAAGGAAGTGAACCCCATTATAAGTGTGGACAGTATGTTCTGTGATCTATCCAGAGTATTCGGGAAGCTCAGGATCTTGACACATGGAACTAAACTGTTATGCATGAGAAGAGTGAACTGACCTTTTACATTTGGTAGGCTACTCTGCGGAGAAGTCATGACACATGGATTATGCAGGGATATGGATCATTATTACAGGATTTAAAAAGCATGATACCGGGCTATGAGAAACTGGATAAAGATATTGATGCATCATAGTAGAAGCAGAGTGTTCGGTTTAGTATTCAATTAACTAACTTTAATTTGTGTTTACTTTAAGAATCTTTGGTAAATGATGTTGTTGTTTGACACTCTTTTTTTCTCTTTGACTGACAAAGACTATTTTCTCAGCATCTGTTTACAAAAGCCTTGCTGCCCATGTTCTTTTTGGTGTGAAATCAACATGTTAATACAATGTGTCATGGAGAAATGTGTTCCACCAGAATTTGTTCTCTCATGCTTTAGCTCTGCGGCAAATTCAGTGACTTGTGTTGATCATCATTCCCACTCAGCACCATCAGTATTCCAGTCTGCTGCTTGAGGTGTGGTGCAACCAGCAACGGGCACAAAAACAGAATGATAAACAACTTAATCTCACCTCTAATCATGCTTGTGCGGAGTGGTAAGTGAATCGCATGAAAGTGATGCCAAGATATTGCACATTTGTCTAAATGAGCATACCTACTGTTTGTTATTCCAACTTCTGTGGAATTACAACAGGTAGGATTTACACCAACATAATAATGAGCTTTCAAGTACGAAATCAATTCGTCATGAAACAAATGATGCATCCGTGTCTTTTTTACTGCCAACAAAGCCGAGGAGATGGCAGTTCATTCCAGGGCAGGTGCAGTGGTCTCATAGGAGAAAGTTATCAATGACAAAGTCGCCAGCTTGTGATAAAACAAGGCAGCCAAAGCCACACGTAAGGATGTGGCCTATTTATTATGGATATGAACCACCCTCTCATTCAGAGTTCAGATCATATTAAATGGTATGACTGTGACAATAGAGACACAGTTGTCAATAGCAGTCCTTTCCTGAGGTTTTAACATAGACTGAATGATAATTAGTTCCCCTTTGTTGTCCTTATCTCTTACCTGCAGAAATGGCCAATTTATGCAGGCTGCACCCTGGCCAGGCAAAGTTGATGCTCCCCACAGGAGGAAAGCAGCAATGGTTCAGACAATGGAAATGAACTCAGGGACAACTCAAGGTTGATTTAGATCCTGAGCAACATGGAAATAAATGAGGAAACAGACCACACTGAGCTTGCCCTGATGTTGACACAGCTTCCTCTCTCATATAGTGCACCCTCATCCCCAAGGAGCCCCATGCGTCACTGAGATCTGGTCAAGTGAGAATAAAAATGCAAATGTCATATTGTTGAAATACTGAGTGAACTAAATGTCAGTCCATCTTTTCAATATGAGATATAAGATTGATGTGGATAGGCCATTGAACGCAAGTGTGATAGCTGCAGAAGGCAGGTTATACCAACAGCTGTGATATTTGAGCGTTGAAATAAGCCTTGTTTTTTTCAGAAGCATAAGTAAATCTCTAATGTCCTTTACAGAGATTATCCTCAAAAACCCACAGTCTGTCCTTATTTTATCTTATGGCTGGATTTTCTCAAAACGTATGATAACATGGTGGATCACATATTGTTCTCAATTATTGGTAATAAACCTTAATTCACAATATGCAAAGCTTCAATTATACTGAACGAATGAATTCAAATAACAGTTAATCTTTATAAATCAACCCATATAATCATCATTTTTTCATCTTCAATTTGACATTTTCCACACCTCGTTGCACATCTGATCCAATTCTCCCAGAATGACCACTTGTTAAGTCCTCACTGATACTAGGCTACTATCCTATCCAGGCACATTTCAGCGATCTATTCATAATCCCCAGTTCTCATCCACATGTATTAGGAGCAACATCCACCAGCACGTTTTTTCTTCTGATGCTGCTCCTCTGTGCGCGCACATCAGTAAATGAATCACGTAGCACTAGAACAGCCCTTCTTCATGCGATCTTGCCAGACCTATTGGAGAAACCCCCCAAGGCAAGATCTGTCACTGTTCACTCATTTGCTGGAAGACGATCAGAAACTATGTTAAATGCACCAAGAAATATACTGGAGTCTGTTATAAAGGCGTCGAGAGGATTCCGGTCAGATCTCACTGCGAAGGGAGCAGGTTTCAACAGTTGACGCGGAGAGAACTGAGCGCAGGAAAAAGCGATTAATTTTGATTATCTGAAATCTTCCAGTGGCTCTTTTTTCGCGTTTTTCTGGCAAACGATCACAGGGACAGTGCAGAAGAGCATTGTCCGAATGAAGGATGCAACAGCACTGGGTCCAATTGGACTGGATTATGGGATTACTGGACTGATTAAAGGACAATCATCGGGCAAAAGTCGCAGCCGTGCTATAGATGCTCTTGAATGACGGGAACACAAAAGGTTGGACAGGATAAACAGCTCTATATCCCGCTTTTATTCTACTTTGTGGCAGGGGCACACTGTATGCAACACGAGCAGAACCCATATGCAACAGTGTGCCGCACAGGGGAAAAAGTAAATGCATTGTGAATGGTAACATCGGACAATGCTGCATTTTGAACGGGCATGTCAGTATTTGCTGTAGCCTAGGTGTAGATGTCGCATGAGGGCAATGCGCTTTTGTAAGCTACGGTCTAACCTTCACCACAGAGATTCAAACGCTTTAACCTTGGGTGCAGTAGGGAATATTAATACTTTATAGTCATCGATTATTCATTAAATCCCCCCCCCCCCCCCCCCCCCCCCCCCCCCCCCCCGTGAGGAAAAACAAAGCATTCTCGTATACTATGTTGAATTTGATCTTTTATTCATGCATAGGGTGTCGTAGGGCGGTCATCTTTGTTTACAGAAAGAGTTCATTTTAGCCGAACGGCATGTGAGAGAGGTTAAAATAAAGATTAAAGGCGATAAGGATACACACATCGATTTAGCACCCAATTAATGTGAGATCGGCGTCAACCACATGCCTGGTTTGGGTTCAGTCCTCTAGGTTCGCGTAATCAACAGGTTGAAAGTCAACGAGGATTTTTTTTCTGTCTGCCACTACCGCATATCCAGTTGAAGGGATGCGTCTCTCTGTACCCTTTTTCTTTTTGCTGTGGGTTCAAGCCCTGACATTGAAAAATCTCAATTATTCTGTTCCGGAGGAGCAAGGACCCGGCACTGTTATAGGTAATATAGCAAAAGATGCCGGATATGGGACCATGGAGAGGGGGAAAAAATCCAACTTTAGAGTACTGGAGAATTCTGCTCCACATCTGGTGGATGTTGACCCAGAGAGTGGACTAATCTTCACGAAACAAAGGATTGACAGGGAAACATTATGCAGGCGCAATCCAAAGTGCCAGCTCTCTATGGAGGTGTTTGCAAATGACAAGGAAATATGCATGATCAAAATTGATATACAGGACATAAATGACAACTCGCCTAGTTTTCCCTCAGATCATGTTAATATAGATATTTCAGAAAACGCTGCTGCTGGGACACGCTTCCCCCTGACTATTGCACATGACTCTGATTCTGGGGAAAATGGGATAAAGACCTACCAGGTCACAAGAGATGATTACAATACATTTTCTTTGGATTTAAAAGTGAGGGGCGATGGGACTATATATCCAGAGCTGGTGGTTCAGAGACCTCTGGATAGGGAGGATCAGAGTCATCACACACTCCTCCTCACAGCAATTGACGGTGGGGAGTATCCAAGATCAGGCTCCATGCAAATCAACATCAGAGTGACTGATTCAAATGACAACAGCCCAGTTTTTGAAAAATCCTCTTATGTGATTGAGATTCTGGAGAATTCACTGCCGGGAAAAATACTTATAGATTTAAACGCCACTGACCAAGATGAGGGAAGCAACGGGCAGGTGGTCTATTCCTTCACTGGATATGCATCTGAAAGAATCCAAGATTTGTTTTCCATTGACCCCAATACTGGCGTAATCAAGGTCCAGGGAGAAATTGACTTTGAAGAGAATCCAATCATAGAGTTTGATGTACAGGCTAAGGATCTCGGGCCCAACCCGATACCAGGACATTGTAAAATTACAGTCAAAGTGCTTGACAAAAATGACAACTCGCCAATAATAAGTTTTGTCTCTGTACGGCAGGGAGCCATCAGTGAGGCAGCACCTCCAGAATCTGTCATAGCGCTAGTGAGAGTGACGGATAAAGACTCTGGCCGAAATGGCCAACTTCAATGCAGGGTGCTGGGTAATGTACCCTTCAGACTGCAGGAAAACAATGATAATTTTTACACTCTGCTCACAGACAGACCCCTGGACAGGGAAATGAAGGATGAATACAATGTAACAATCGTGGCGAGAGACAATGGGATACCTTCTTTGAACTACACTAAGTCGTTTACTGTGAAAATCTTGGATGAGAATGACAATGCACCACGCTTTACAAAGACAGTGTACGTGCTACAGGTGCCTGAGAACAACATCCCAGGGGAGTATTTGGGCTCTGTTCTGGCCCACGACCCAGATGTAGGTCGAAATGGAACAGTGTCATACTCCATTCTGCCTTCACATATAGGAGAAGTTTCAGTGTATACCTACGTGTCTGTTAATCCCACCAATGGAGCCATATATGCCTCACGCTCTTTCAATTATGAGCAAACTAAATCCTTTGAGTTCAAAGTTCAAGCTAAAGATGGAGGATCCCCTCACATGGAGAGCACCTCCATAGTCAGGGTCAATGTCCTAGACGTAAACGACAATCTCCCAGTTATTATTTTACCACTCCTGCAGAATGATACAGCGGAAATCCCAGTGCCTAGAAATGTAGGTATCGGATACATAGTGGCTACAGTGAAAGCAGTGGACCATGACCACGGAGAAAGTGGACATTTGACCTATGAGATCACAGAGGGAAATGATGACCACCTGTTTGAGATGGATCCGGTGGGAGGGGAGGTCAGAACTGCTCATGCTCTTTGGGAAGAGGTCGCCCCAGTGGTTGAGCTGGTGGTGAAGGTAACTGACCATGGCAAGCCCCCCTTATCTGCCGTGGCTAAGCTGATCATTAAGGCGAACACAGAAACGGCAGCAGGAGGGGGTTCCAGCGCGAGCGGAGAACAGCAGCACTGGGATGTATCCCTGCCCCTTATAGTTACCCTCTGCATTATCTCTGTCATGCTCTTAGCAGTCATGACCGCCATCGCTGTCAAGTCCAAACATCAAGATAAGGAGACTGGGAATTATAACTGCCGCATGGCTGAGTACTCCAATCCTCCAGTGGGGAAAGGCAAAAAGAAAAGGATCAACAAGAGTGACATCATGCTGGTGCAGAGTGAGATGGAGGAAAGAGATTCTGCGAGCCGGATGAATGTGGTGAGCAGTCCTTCTCTCATCACTTCCCCAATATGTTTTGACTACCAGAGCCCTCTGCCACTCACACTGCCCAGGTCAGAGGTCATGTACCTGAAAACCACTCCAAACAGCCTGACAGTCCCCCGGGCAGGTTGCCACTCCAGCTTTGCCGGGCTTAGCACAGACACTCCAGCAAATAGGATGTCAGTGATACAGGTAAGGAGGATGCTGCACTGTTTCCTTTATCTGCCCTTTTATTCCCGCTTATCTGCACCCACTGCTTTGCCTTACAAATCTGACAAAAGAAAAGTAATCGTCTGAAAAAAAGAAACTCTGTCACTGTGAGACATCCTTATTTCCACTTTTTCTCACTCTGTTATGACACTTTAAAATATTCTCTGCATGATGCGATAACTGATGTGATAATGTATTCATGTGTTTTTAATGTTATTTCACTAAAGATACTTTCTTCTTTCTGCATTTGAGGAATCAGAATCATTTTGGAAATTCTTCCAAGTACTCTCTTGCAAAATGGTACAGGTGGCGTGCATAATTAGAATCCTCTCAGTTAGACATGCAAACAGTGTGAGTCTTGAGCAAGGCTGCTGTGACCCTGCCAGATCCACTGCTATAGAGTGAAAACAAAACCCTGCCTGAAATGTGGGATTGGACAGGTGTTTGAGCAGCTTGTCCGATCACATTACTGAACCAATGTGCACCAGACAGCTAGATGCACACAGCATAACCTTACAATCGCATTTTTCGCTCCCACAAATATGGGCCAGATCCACCCATCCGCATCCAAAGTTGGCATGATAACACCATTAATAGGGTCCATCCATGCCTTGCAGAGATGGCAGGGTTGTACCCAGCTAACATGCTAATTTGACAGCATGGGCTTGTACTACTGTTTAGCACAACAGAATTATCTGTTGTAAACGATGTAAATATCTAGGACAGTCTCACAGACTTGGAGATGATAACACAGATGACAAGGCCTGGCACTGTCACCAGTCACATAGTACGTGGGTGTGATCAACACAAACACTTTATTCTCAAGATAGGGGAAAAGGATGCTAATGACAGTGGCTAATGCTTTTCTTCTTTCCCGTGCCAAGTCCCCACATATGGTCAAAAGGAGATTTGTTCTTATCATGCCGTCATCACTGGCAGGTGCTTTATAGGGATATTGACAGCTTTCAGGTGTCATGATGAAGATATAACAATTGTTTATTTTCCTGTCTAAATGTCATGTTACTCTGGGGATTGTTTAACCTTGCATGCAAATGTTACTACGGCCAATGCAAAATAATATTTTCCTTTCATTTCTAGACTGAAAATTTCCCCTCAGAGCCCAATTATGCTGGCAGCAGACAGCCGTTTGTTCAAAGGTAAGATCTTGTTCCGAGGCTTTCTGACCAGTGCATTTAGCTTCTTCATCTTTGTATCAAGCCAGCTGACTGTGGCTATCAAATGGGAGCGCTCACGCAGAGGTAATGGCAACTTATGTTTCTTTTTTTCTCCCTTCCATTCTGCTGCAGCTCAACATTTAAGGATGCAGAACAAGCAAGCCTCCGAGACAGTGGCCATGGTGATAGTGACCAGGCTGATAGTGACCAGGATACTAATAAAGGCTCACAGTGCGACACGTCTGCTAGGGAGGCCCTCAAGATGAAAGCAACAGCAGTTAATGGCCAGCCTTTTGAGCAGGGTGAGTGGATGCACTCTCTTCCTGACATCTTGAAGATGTCTTACTGACTCTTGTACCACACATTTCTATGCTTTATGCGCTGAGAACATGCAGCTCACTTGTGTTTAAGTGGAAGTCCACCAGCCTCTGGGTACAGTCAAACCAGACATATGGTAACATGGAAGATGTAAATTCACACTGTTATTAGATGCAGGTGCTATTACTTTGTACATTGTAGACAGCCTGAGGTGAGTTGCATGGATGACATCAAGGCAGCGGAGTGAAAGGTAGATGGTAGTTTAAAAAGATAAAAGAGTCCATTGGCTGAAGGTAGAATGTTCAAACATCTTGTGTGAGATTTTGCCATCAAACAAGCTCATATGCATGGCAAAGTGAACCACCGTCTGTGTCTCTTTTGATCATGTCATTATTTGAACACAGATTCGCTGCATGAATGTTTTGAATAACACGACAGAGAAAGAAAGCATGATAGACACTTGCAGTGCAAAATGACAGGTATTTCTGGTGCAACATGACAGTGAGAGAACGTGTTTCCACCTTTTGCTTGGAAAGATTTTCTCAGTTATTATAAGTTTTCCTGTGGTTACACAGTCTTGAAAAGGAGCTTTGCTTTGCAACTGAAAATAGAAATGTAACATTTGTATTTTGCAAATATGAAACAATCGGCACTGCCGCGAGTATAATCACAGATGATTGTCAATCTGTTGCAACCTGGCTGACCTGATATGGGACTGATATATTTAGCTATTGTGGTTAAAAAATGAAAAAATGAAAGCACCTCTCACTGGTGAGATAAAAGATAATGGGTAACTTCAGTGAAGTGGTGGTGTTTCTCATTTCCTTTTGTGAGCCTTGCAAGGGAATGGCTCTGGTCATCAGGTCCCTGTGCAGTACTTTCCACACCTTTACATTGCTATGGACTGTTTGTTTGTGGCATGCTCAGGGGGGCAGGGATGGAAACACTCTTGCAGCTACCAGTATGCATCTCTCTCTCTCACTGTCTCTCTCACTTGTGTGTGCATGTGTGTCTGTGTGCACACTATGAGGAATTATGGGAGACCAAACTTGACTCCGTGGGAGGTGTAAATTCAATCACAATTTTTGTGCAGCACATTTCTGAATCTGATTCTGTCCTAGTTCTAAGGCCAATCAAATAGACAGACATTGCAAGAGATGTTTTGTACATGCGAGACAGAATATTTACATGTGCAGCGCTGACTTCTGATTGACAGGAATGTCAGTTAATTTATAGCCCTGCATTTGTTAGATAAGAGAAATGCAGAAAAGTAGGGCATTGCTTTTCATATTAATAGGTTTTGCTAATGCATTTCCTGTTCGCATGTGGGGAATAGTTTAAAAAAACAACACGCATGTGGGGAATAGTTTAAAAAAACAACAACTAATGGCTAGATTAAATGGCGTTCTCTCTCGGGGGTTGGTCAGTTGAATGGTGTCAGTGACTGCTGAGTACAAGATGGAAGATCTACATTACGCATAATTCCTTAGACCTGATCACACAAAGCATCACCCTTCAACCCACACACTCCTACTGTCTCTCACCCTCACTCTCACACACACACATACACACATGCAGGTACATGTATTGAACAACAAAGCCACTGTTTTGCAGATTCCGACAAGATAGCACTATTATCCAAAATGGAGACACCACATCATTTTTGTTCTAAATGCACCAACATAAAAGCTTGTGGGTTAAGTAGTATTGCTTTTATGTCTTTACCTTTACCATCCCTCTAGTCTCCTGGCTGCTTTGATACAGGTAATATATGCACCTGTGCAGCCTCCACTATCATGCACTCTGAATATTTATTCACTCTCACAGACACCAGATGCACAGTGGGTATGTTGCTAGGCTTTCTCTGATTCTATTTATAATGGGCAGGCAGTTTCTTTGTTTTTTGAGAACATGGTATTTTTCTGCTCACAGTTGCCCATCAGATCACAGCTATTTTGTCACTTTGTCATGATTCTATTACGTGACTATGTAAATGCAGTGGACTATATAAAGCCATTGTATAACTCTGTCATTGTAGAGCCATTATTTAACACATGCATTCAGTGATAAGATGGAAATGGAAAGGCCAATGCCATTATAGATGAAAGCACCCTCACTTCCCTTTCCCCTTTAATCTCTGTTTTTGTTTTTTAAACAGAAAAAAAATATAGCGCGACTCACAGTCCTTTGTTACATCTTTTTAATATTTTTTATCGTAATTAATACATTGTATCCTAAAAAACTAGTGATTATAAAGGTGTGAACAAATAATACAAATCTGTATCTCTTGTAAACACTATGGATTGAATGTAAATGTGCAGGCATGATCCTTAAATTGCTCCTGGTTATATTGCGAGACAAATAACACAAAAAAAGAAATACCTTACTGGGTTTTTCCTTAACCTTCTAAGCACATACTTCCCTTTGCATCAGCATCATCTGCAACCCCTCTGCAGTGGTGATAGGTACCATGGAAATGAATTCAGCATCTCCCTGCTTCTCCCCGCTTATGCTTATTGTTCTGGCTTCGTGTATCCCTGTACAAAAAAAATACTTTTCTCTATGGCACTAGAAAAAAAGACGGGAAACACAAATGCACAGTGCACAGAGCTGTAATCTGGGCTGTAGTTGCTTCAAAGCGTAGCAGTTGAAATATGCAGGATCTGTGTTGCAGTTTTGCCAAATCAAAGCCATCATTTAGTTCTCCCGTTTGATGTAAAATACGTTTTGAACTCAAATGTGCATATTTTTTTCTTCATCTCAGTTCTGAGATAGCACCAGAATGGTCTATGCTAAGAATGTAACAATGAAAGTTCCCACAGTATGTAACAGGACAAAGGAAAACAATACAGCTTGCAACCCAGAAAGCAACATTAATGTAAAATACAGTTGGTCTTTCTCCTTAAAATCAATAAAGCGTTCAGTAGGCTTACTCTCATCTGTAATAAGTAGGGGTGTATCAAATATAAATCTTCAGTAATAACTTGCACATTTTATTTGATAACAATTAAATAGTCTACTCTTCATCTGCAACATATGCTACTCAGCTGACAGTAAACATGTCCATATTTGTGAAAGGTATTACACTTCAAATACTGCGCCATCAATGTGAACTCCTATAGACAGATTGAAAAACCCTGAGTTGATTGTTAGGGTCATTTAAGCCAGTTAATAAAAATATACCCTGTGTATGTTGAACCATAAGGGTCCATAAGGGTACCATTAAAACATGTGTAAAAACAATAAATATACAGCCCAAGCAGACCGTCACACACTGCAATAGTATACACAAGGTATACATAATATCCAGTTAAATTGCAATAAAACAGTGTATTCCGATCCAGTTAGGATGTGTGAGGTATAATTGTATCTGAATTATTATATTATCTCAAATAGAGTTTAAATGTGAAGGCTCTTCAAATCTGTTGGAGTTTCTTGAGGAGCAAACCATTTATTTGTATGTGAACATTCTTTGTATAAAACCAAACAAGATGCACAGTGGGCACATTCATGGGTACAGGTGCAGAACAAAAAGCAGCGTGCACAGGAAAGCCGAGGTTCTCCGCACTGTGACATTTGCCATCTATTACTTTCTCCGGCAGACACCCATGTGAACACAAAGCTGTACCTTCACTTACATTAGATCTCATGATACAAAATGACACCCATAATCTCAAAACAATTTACTACGCACATAAAAACACATAATGTCATAAAGAAATGTCTGTAGCTCATAAAAGTCATGATGTGATACATATTTTTTGCGGCAGAAAATGTAGACATGCCATTTCTTTTAACATCCTTAATGTAAGCATTCTTTATTAAATCTGTAAAACAGTTATGGTTTAAAATTAACAGCCCCATTTAGCATGTTAAATCTCTGCCCCGTCATCGAATAATTAACTGTTCCATTTTGTCCTGTGGCTGCTAGTGGGAGTATGTGTGCACGTGCGTGTGTGTGTGTGTGTGTGTGTGTGTGTGTTGTGTGTGTGTGTGTGTGTGTGTGTGTGTGTGTGTGTGTGTGTGTGTGTGCGTGTGCGTGTGCGTGTGCGTGTGTGCGCGTGTGTGTGTGCGTGTGCGTAGGAACTTAAGCAGCAGATGTGATAGTAGTGGTACTTTTCATGTTAGCTTGTCTTATGTTATGTGTGGCACTAGGTGCTGGTTTTCCCATCTCTTGGGGGCTCTGTTGCAGGGACGGTGTCTTTTTCATTTATCTTTTTTTGTTAGAACATCCTCCAGCGAACTGGCCGATGCTGGTGTGTGAGGAAGGTACTGCTGCCTTTGTACTAGAGGAGCTCCCCACCTCTTCTAGGAAGAGCCTATCGTGTAGCGCCTTCACTCGTTCCAGGCTGATATTCTGCTCCTCATCAGGGTTAGGTTTAGAAATGAGATCAAGTGCCTCTTTCACAGTTAGTCAGTTGCTCATAGTCTTTGATTTCACAGAATGGCATGTGAGCAAGATAGAAAAAGCCTTATTTATAGACCAAAGCTACGAGAGCTGATCAGTGGTCTATCAAGCCATGTTGTGATGAGATGAAACAATGTGGTTATTCAACATGTTTAGTGTTTTTGGTAGAATTGTGTTAAGACTATTCGGCTCCTGCAGATTATAATATCTTTATAAAGTAGCACATGTTCTAGATGTGGTGTGTTTAACCGGCTTATTCAATCATTTTTGTATAGTTGTAGTTTGACAGAAAACATTGTAGACATTCTAAATAAATAATCAAATTCTGACTAATTCAGCGATCATAGGCTTTCTACATTTTGTTTTCATTTCTAGCGTTAAGGATGTCATTACCGCCTCATGGCAATGATAGCAAAGAAAACACATTTATTAGAGGAAGGTTAAATCAGTCATCAAAACAATACATGCCTGCATGTGTAACAAATGAAGGTAAAGTGTCATTTACTAGCAATTTACTATGACATGTTTGACATTTTGCCTGATGCCACTACAAGCTAAATATCTCCATGCATCATTGTCAAATTAATTTTGATACCGTGGTGTAATGGAAAAAAAATGACACCTTCTTCATCATAACACCGTGGAAATTGGCTCATTCTATGATGCTCTCTGTGTGCTTATTTCATGTCTACCAGGGTTACATGTGGTGTGAAATGTAAAAGACTGATTTACAGCACCAAGATAGAGCCTTACCCCTGGCACCACATTTTTCGACTGACACTAATACACAGTCTCTCGCACATGTTGTATGCTCCTGCGGCTGTTGGCTTGGTGTTCAGTGTCAAGTAATGCAGCTTAACTACAGGCATGAAATAAACAGGGAACCACTTTAATCAATGACAAAAGTTGTCAAGAATTTAAAAAAAGTGTTTTGTTCTTCGGATCAAGGGACATAAATAACAACCCCTCAATTTGAAATTCAACTAGTGTTAGTCTAGTGGCACTGATTCTTTCAATGTGGACTTTATTTAAAGCTCATGTTCCCTTTTCCTCCAATTTTCACCGCACACCCGTTTCCACACAACACAAACTAGTTAGTATTTCAAGACAACACTGTTGACATCTATAGTCAACAAGGTCCTCTTGTGGCAAGGACAGGTCACAATTAAGCTTCATTAATAAGGAGTGAAATGAAAAATGGGCAAAAATGCAAATGAGCTGCTCACAAAGCACCAGAGTCCTTCAAATTAATTAGAAAAATGACTAAGGGTCAAACTAATGAGTGTTTGTGCTACAAGTTATGATTCTAAGATTCAATTTCACCTTGAATTGTAATATTATAGTTGTTTCATCCAATGTTTGATTACCCAACATTCACACCTATAAATTCCTATTTATAAATAGTGAAAGAAACAAAAATAATGAGCCCTAACAATATTATAACTAACAGCATAACACCAACAACCGAAACAACAGAATTTCTCAGCACTTTCTGATCAGAAACAGTGAATGCCACTGCTTATGCAAATTCCACAGTTGTTTTTCTGTCTATTCAACACAAACTGCTGCTGCTGAAAATGTAAATAAACTTCACATCACTTCCTCTGCACCAGATGATATTTTCCAGGAAACACCTACACAGGTTGTTGAAGGCAGAATAATGTTTTTAAAAAGGGTGAATGACTAGTTTGCTACTTGACCAGCATGACGTCTGTATGATGTTGACATTTTAAGGTTGAATTGTGAATGATGTCTGGAACAGAAATGCCTGATTTAGAAAACCACATTGCTCAATTTGAACTCTGCCATAGCTGCCGCAACAGGCTGCTTCTTCTTATTTAAAGGTCCCATGTCATGCTTTTTAGGTTATTACCCGTCCCCTTGTGTGTTATGTAGCTTTTTCTGCATGTAAACGGTCTGCAAAGTCACAAACCCTCAAAGTACTCCCTGTAGCGGGTAAAACTCGAAAAGACGTGTCCATGCTGCCCCAGAACGCCTCGTTGGAGATTTTTCTTTTTCCATTTTTTCCTTCCGGGGCATATTGACGTAACGAAGTCCAAATGGACCAATCCGCGGAGCTCCGCACACACACACACTCACTCAGCCTTATCTTTTCTCAGCCGCGGTGCTGCGCGGAGCTCCGCACACACACACACTCACTCAGCCTTATCTTTTCTCAGCCGCGGTGCTGCGTGGAGCTCCGTACACACACACACATTCGGAGCTCAGGCTGTGAGTGTGTGTGTGTGCTCAGGCTGAGCTCCGCTGTGTCTCGCTGTCTCGCAGTCCCCACGCAGCAACCAGGAAACGACACCAGTAATCCAGCTCACACTGTCCACTCCTCGAGCCCCACAGGGCGGAGCAGCGATGAGCAACGTCCCGCAAACACGGCACCCAGACCCCATGCAGCATTCTCATCTGTTTGTCATTACTGGTGTCATTTTCTGGTTGCTAACGCCATTGTAACACATAAACACTGATGTTCAGCTGTAACGGTGGTGGACTCATCAGAACAGAGTGGGCGAGATGACCAATCAGAGCACAGTGGGCTCATAGGGAGGGGGGGGGCAGGAGCTCCAACAAGCCGTTTAGGACAGAGAGTGAATACACATACTATACAGAGATGCTGTATGAGAAACCAATGTTAGACCTCAACAATGGAATTATGATCAGTAGAAATGGTCATGACATGAATACAGGAACATGATATATAGAAAGATACTATTCTTACAAGGGTTTCAGACATAGTATGAATAGAACAAATGTGTGTTTGTTGAAGTGTTTTGTTTTTGTCGCTCATCCTTCAAAATGTCATCTACATTTTCTTCTAGGTTGTTTACTCTTACCCCAGCAGGTTCCAATAACAACTGTTTAACTGTTTTTGCAGAGCAAGACAAATCAGTCCACTGCACAGACGAATGTCGTGCACTGGGACATTCTGACAGATGCTGGATGCCAAAGTTACGGGTAGGAAGCCAAGCAGACAGCGCCGATAATCGTACCAACCTTTTCATCCCTGTGGGAATGGATGCCATGGTAGAGACAGAGATTTATGGCACCATCAGCTGCAGCAGCAGAAAAACCCTCAGCACGTTTGGAAAGGAACAGCGGGACAGTACAATCCTCGTGGCCAATGTCAAACCTTACTTAAAATCGCAGCGTGCACTAAGCCCACCGCTACAGGAGAGTCTCTCTGCCTCCAATAGTCCCACCAAGAGTAGTTTGCCCCTGGACTTGGCCAACCAAGAGTCCAAAGAAGAAAGGGAGGGGGGCTCAGACAGCAGTGCCTATGGGCCTCCAGATGGCCAGTGCTCCCCCCTGCACACCGAGTTAGAGGAGCCCTCCTATCTGACCTGCGAGCTCAGGCCTAAGTCCCTGTCCAGCAGCCTCATCCACAGCTCCGTCATCAGCCAGGAGTGTGGGGGGTTAGATTTTGCGCTCGACCCGAGGGACTCTGGCAACTGACAAGTCAGGTGATCCAGCTCGCTCTCATCTAACAGAGGTGTGATGATGATATCACAGATTGATGATCAAGAGGTGATTTATTTTGACCCACAAGAGGTGTTCAGACACGCATTGTATAACCAAAAACCATCTGCTTTGTCTGTTTGTTTTTTAGTTTGTGACTTGTCGTGTTTAGGTGAAATATGTGTCTTTGACTGCTGTGAAGGTTTTGGGGGGAAATCAGTGCTTCGCTGACTTCAAGTGTTTTCATGGTGTACTGTACCTGTCAATTTAGATGTCTGTATTTTACACATTTCAAGCTCAATTTTGTGAGGCTGTGGAACAAATTGCTACTGTTAAGCTATTGAGTCCTGTCTGCTTTTGTACAGTGAAGCTTCCTGTCTCCATTTAGTGTATAAGGAACATCTCTTTGAATATCACAGACAACTGAAATACATATCAGTGACGTTAAATACAGAAGTGAAGTGTCTTATGAACTGTAAATGGTGGTGCAACAGGGAATGTCCCTTTTCATAAAACCATTTGAGGTTCCTATAAAACCAGTTTTCTAAGAATGTATTTGTAATTTTATTGTTGTCCTCTGCAGTTTATGTGAAAATAAGCTGAGCTTACACGTGAATGTGGGCTTCTGTATGTGTTGTGTATTTTATTAAATTTGTATACACTGTGTGCATGGAAGGCAATTATTTTTGACTGGTGACAACTTCCAAAGCTGTCATGTTGTTTATTTTTATGTAAGAAAAGTGAATTTGTGTCTACAAGGTGCTTAATACGTGTTCATGACAAAAAGCCCTCTGCAAACGGGCCATCTTTACCTATTTACAGTATACCAGTACATGTTATCTAGCAGTAGTCTAGAGCTTAGTTTACTTCAAAAAATCCCAATTAACAATTTACACAGCTATTTATATTCAAAAGCGCAAATAAAAACAGGCACTGTGTATTAGTGCACCAATGAAAAAACGATTTGACTTCATCTGCTCTAATGCTTTTATTATACGTATGCATCACAAGGTGGAGATGGAAACCCTGCTCACATTTAAGTTCCCTCAAAGTCATCAGTTTATTTATGATTTTGTCTGACAAATAATACATCTAAGAAGGAAAAAAAGTTTGCTACTGTACAATTACCAGTTACAAGCAAATACTTTTTTGCAATATATTCTTTGATGAATAAAATGAAATTTGAATGATCTCCTTGGGGGAAAGTGGGTCATCGCTACAGCAAAGGACTGAACAAATAGTACATTAAAGTTTATCAAAAGTACATTTAAAAAATGGATTTATACAATAAATAAAAAAAACTGCATATATGCAAAAGAGATTTCCAGTTGTCAATCCTTTGCTCCATTTCCATAAAATGTACAAGAGCACATGTGCAAATGTTTATACTGTATGCACTCTGCACTATTTAGTATGCAATCAAATGCAGAAAGGGTGGGTGTAGTGACAGAAGGCCATGGTCTGCAGACATTCGAACAGCTTAACTACTGCAATCCATCCATTTTCTCATTTCTATTGACCTGTTTTTCAAAACATAGCTGCTTCTTAATATTTCAAGCAAAGGAGAGCGACATAACTGTTGCTATGACCAGAGTAATTTTATTTTTAAAACCTGGTCTATATAGAGTGATTAATAAACATGAGTGTAGCCAATGTTTACCGAGGCAGATGACTAAACTCAGGAATCCTGGAAATATAATTTGTTCTGTCTTTCATCTGCAAAACAATCCCACAAAAGTCTGTTTATTCTTTTTTTCTTAGTTTAGTTTCTCCATCTGGAGACACTGACTTCTGTACCCCAGCTCGGTGAGTGGTTTGAGAATGCCTTGTTTTTCATGCGCTCTGGATAACAGAATCCTGTCATCTACTGAGAGCTGACTATCAGTACGACTCCGTTTCTCCTCAGGGAAAACACATTAATTTGGATTTTGATTTGCATTTGTTTTGGTGCTGGTATTGACACAATTCCAGACCTAGATGTCTCATCTCAGCATGCAGCTCTGATGAGCTCATCTGCATAAGTTGAAATACTCTTTGAGAAGGAGATTGCGTGGGTCACAGCAACTCATCCCAAATACAGACAGAAACATCACATCATTTTTATATGTATCAGTCCCAGGGTATCTGAACACGGGGGATGAAGACAGGTGAGCAGAATGTCAAGTAGAAAAAGGGTTGAACCATTTTCTGCTACACTTATTTTTTAGCACTATATAACTGTTTTACATCACAAGGAATTAAAACAGGTTAAACTTCCACTTCTGCCTTAATTATGCAAAATCAGCTTTAACCAAACCCTTTCTTATTTAGAGATGTGTGTGCTGCAGTACTGAAGCTTTACAAAAAAGTGCTATGTTGTTGAGGAGAGCTGAATGCAGATTAAGGACTCGCATGCAGTGGGGAATGAATATGACTTGTCTCTCAGAATGATTACATTCACACTGAAAGGGAATTACAGACAATGAAACAGATCTGTGTAATACCTCCATTCTTCTACATTTTACATACACAAATGATCTATTCAGATGAAAATGGAATGAGCAGTGTACCATTCAGTTGTGTAAAATTGACATGCTCACCCTGAGTACTTAAGCTTTTAATTCAATAATTCAATAACACAGCTGATTAAGAGCTTGTCTTCCACCTTCACCAAATGCTATGGGAGATGGTTCCACTTGGCTGGGAACTGTTGGTGGGGAAACAACAGTGAACACAACACATACGCATTATTGAGAGTGTAGTTTTCATTTGCACCGAAAGATGTCATTGAGCACAGCATGCATGCCTTCAGGGCACAAATAATAAAAAAGCAGCTTCTAGGTTCATTTGCATGTTTGTTTTAGGCTTTGAAAACCAACTTGCACATAAACAGCAAAAACGGTACCCAATTAGATAATGTAAATGTGCCGCCTCTGAATTTAATGTTAAAGAGGTGTGAGAATGACTTTGTGCAACTGCTAATTCATTCCTCAGTCATTTGGTAATTGATTGACGCATACATTTATTTTTAATGGCAGAATTTAAAGTCAGCTAGAGACATTTATTGGTGTAAACATTTGTCATACTGCTTTTTACAAACATGTTCACACCTAGTTATAAAATGCCTTGCCATGTTTAAAAAGATGACACCAATATGTTTTATTACTTATTCAAATTTACATTTGATTAAATCTGAATCAAAATATCATTCAACATTTTGGAAAACATGCTTTTTGTATTGCCAGGAATTCTCAATTGCAAATATGAAGCTTAAGCCAGCAACTGGTTAGCTTTACTGAGCAAAAAAGCTGGAAGCATGGTGGAAATGCTAGCCTGGCTCTGTCTGAAGGTAACAAAAAATGCCATTGAATGCCTCTAAAGCTCACTTACTATAATATCCCATTGGTTTAATTAATACAAAAACCGAAATATCATTTATTTTGTATGTGTAGATAGAACTCTCATCATAAAAGAAAATGTACATATTTCCCAAAATATCAAACTGTATTTGAAACCTTTTTAACCAACTTTATACCAAAATGCACAGTCAGATTTCTTTTGGGGGGGGGGGTTCTTAAATTACAGAGACAGGGAGGAAATGATCCACTGACAGCTCACATGTTGCAGGTTTTACAAAACAAATCGCCAGGTGAAGAGAATGTGATCCGCATTTCAACCATGCAATATCTCACTATATGTAGGTTACCTTAACAATTCCAGAGAAATATAAAGTGTGATACTTGGTGATCTATATTTATATATGTATGAATAGCCTATGTTTCATCTCTTTGTTGTAGCTCCATATATTATTTTGCATTGGGGGAGACTTAGAAAAGCACAAGTATAATCTCAAAGATAAAATAGTCAAATGTCAAAAGAACGGGTCAAAGGAGAATATTGTGAAAAAGCCAACAAGCTAAACAGATTGATTAATATGTTGTTGAATTTCTATGGACCACAGTGACATCAACATACATGTAAAAGCAACATTTCAAAATTCAGTAATGATTTCCTTAATTTGAATTCAAACAATATTATTATTATTGCATTGGGAGACATGCATGGGTTGAAGCAACTGCACTTTCTTCCTTGTGTGACTCTTGACAGACCTGACAGAGCAATCTGCGAGACATTTGCAAAAAACGATCCTTTAAACATTGTTCTGCTCCCTAGTATGACACTGTTTAAACATTTCTCTTTCATTCAGACCCACAGGAATCAACGCCCCTTTTATTGACACCGTCTGAAAATTCCAGACTGCACACAGCCATTTCTTTTTGAGCGCTTGTTAAAAAGGTGTAACGAATGGTATTCTCCTCTGGGAGGAGTTCAAATGAAAGGCAATCTGTCAATCATGATTAATGTTTAAAAGCTATAACATAAGGGAAGCGATCCGGCAGGACTTCACACAGGTTTCACTACGTGTTACTGGGTCATGACATACTTTCCTCACTTTGATTTGGGCAAAAATAGTCCTCTACACGCCTTTTTGGTGACAAAGTGGGCCAATATCTGCATACAGTGGAAAAGCTAATGCGCTCTGTCATCTGCTCAAAAGTCCTGAATATAAAAAGCTTCACCCTTTAAAGTGCTTTGTCTGCCATCACAAATAAGATGGAGAATTTAAGGTGAGACAGAGAAAGAGAGTAAAAGGGAGCAGTAGGCAGAGAGAGACAGAATATAGAACATGCCCAGCCTTTAAGAATCAATAGACAGTTTATTGAATCAATACGCAGTTTGGTGTAGTGCAAAACCTGTCTCTCGACGAAAATGGTAGATATTGAATAGGGTTGCCCGATTAAGTGTCATGCAGGCATAAGAGCACTATCCCTGGGGGGTTTCAGACACAGCAGGGCTCCACACTATTCCACTTTCAAACACTGCAAAGGTAATGGTGAAGGTAGTTTCTGCACGGAGCCCATTGAATGTGAAGCTTTGCTTTTTGTACAGCTTTTTTAGCCGCTAAAGAGGAGATTTCTCATTAGCATTTACTGTGAGTTAACTTTGCAGTTAATAATGCAGTCACCTTGGTTCGAGGCGTTTTGAGGGATTTTTTTTTACAGTTTGCATTTGCATGCATAAGCACATTAACTTCACAAGTATTTGGATTTATACTTCCAACAGGCAACTATTAGTGGTATGTCTTAATTTATATTTCAAACCAACTTGCAGAGAGCTGAAACATCTAAAGACAGGTTATCTAAATTGGCACACTGCACTGATTTGTTTTACTTACCATTGTTTTAAGTGGGAACAGTACTGACCTCTCTTTGGTTTGTTCAAAAACACTCTAAAATCCTTGATTTAAGTGTCGGCTCTCATTGCGTTTGTGACAATTATTATCAGAAAATCAATGCTACAAGACCAAAAATAAGCAAAAATGCATGTTGTGAAGAGGATAATGTACAGTAGTTTCTTGTGTATCGCAAAGATTGCTATTTTGGAGCAGTTCCACATGCATTATAGCTTTTATGTACCAGTGGTCTGCCCAGGTGTTTTCGCTCATTTGTCTGATTAAACCTCGCCTAAGGACTGTGTGGGTGTGCAGGCTACAGTCGAGTGTGCTGCTGAAATCCCTCGGTCCCCTGTTTTATTGCACCTGTTAGGGTCAGTCAATTTACACCTTTATGATTATTAGTACATCAGAGTTTTGGAACCTTACATCCAGCAGAGGTCTGATGCACC